AATTAAGGTGCTTATAACCTTACTTACTAAGTCCCATAATGCTCCAAGGGGGTGGGGCTGTAGCAATCAGGGGTCTACATCACGACTCGGCTGCCGTCTTAGGTTCAGAACTGGTACGGCCGGGAGGCCCCGGACAAGGGAGCTGTCATATCAGGTTCGGGGTTCAGGGTTTAGTAGACGGATGTCTAGAGGGATGCATGGATCTACGTGTAGTTGCAAATGGATTGTGTTAGGCTATATTAATATTCCTAAGCCACTATAAGGGCACAAGCATGTTGATGGTCTCTTGGGCTCCAACATGATTTGTGCTACCAACATGATTTGTGCTACGAAGGGTTGATGGTTCATATTGAATCTAGCAGAAGATGTCGGCTGTCGGGGTATAGGTTGTAGTTCAGGGATTGTAGGGCTGTGGCCTTCTGGCGCGGGTTGTGGGCCCTCGAAAACTTTCCTCTGTGCCTCGTCCTTGTCATATGAGTCGCAATTCTGCGGCATTGGGCTTGCAGTGCCCGAAGAAGCCATGTGCCCAAGCAGTATAATATTGGTTGGCTATCAAGTACTGGATTAGGGATGAAGGCCAAGTATATACCGTACGGATACATGGACCCTTCGGGATGGGGCATCCTCCTTTCCGAAGCTCCCATGTCCCCATTGTCTCGGGTTTAGGGTTTTGGGGCAGATACTTGTAAGAACTTGCAAGGTTCAGGTGGGCTCAGCGCCCTGATAGGCCCCAATACACGTCATTTCAGGTAGAATTTCATGCGGATAAGAAGCGGGTACCACGCAGTATGTAACGACATTTAGGCGCTCAAAAGACACACAAAAAAATCCCAAAGACTTGCAGCTTTCGGTTCAGAAGAACCTGAAACTGAAAGCCTCTATACTCCCAAAACCAACTCAAAGGATCAGGGAACGTGGCAGGAGGTAGATTTGTCGTTCGGCGGTAGCTATACCTATTTCACTTAACTACTTGCGGCTTGAGCATATCAAGCTTTGAGTCTAAACCCTGGCCACTCCAAACCCTACATGCAGGCTCAAGTCACGGGTAGCCTCAAGTATTAATTAAACCTGTCGTCTACTAGGCCCACTGATCCTTGAAGTAGGGTTTAGGGATTTAAACTACACAGCAGAGAGTATATAGTTGTAGTAGTTGCAGGGTATAGGTACACCCGACGGCCTACACGCAAGATCTTAAGCTAAACTCTAAACCCCTACTAAACCCTAAACCCCTAAACCCTCAACACCTATCAAGAAGCTTCTGCACCTGCGCCAGTCGGTGGCCTCGAAAGACCACTGGCAGCAGCGCTGGACGCCTCTCATCCGAGTGGAGGGTTCAGAGTTTAGCATTTATCGTTCCAGGATGATAGGGCTCCTAAACTCCAAGCCCCCGACCCCCAACCTGATCCGTAAGCCCCACTGTGGCCGAACCCCCTCAATCCTTGAGCCCTGAGCCCTAAACTAAACCCTGAATCCTTGATTCCCTGGTTCTTAGTAGGGAATGGCAATGGGGGAGTGGATCCCTGTGATTTTTGTTAAGGTTCCCTAAAGTAGTCGCAATAACCCATTCCCCCATTCCTGCTAAGAGCCAGTCAGATGACGACGGTCTAGGTTCTGGAGCCCAGAGAGGACAACCAACTCGCTTGATTCAGGGCACGGTTTAGGGTTTAGTGTTCAGGGTTTAGGGTTCAGCGTTTAGGGTTCAGGGGTTTGGGGTTAGGGGTTTAGGGGTTTGGAGTTTAGGGTTTATAAGGGTTTAAGGTTTAGGGTTTAGGGGTTTTGCGTTGTTAGGATTTGGGGGTGCAAGTGGGGGATTTCCCGATCAGGTTGGCTCCGGGGAGGCCACCGGGGTAATTAGGGTCTTTTTTCCGCTGTTCGAAGATTCGTCGAAAGCTTAACGACACTTAAGAACCAGCCTACCCTAAACCCTGAACCCTCAACCTTAAGCCCTCCCCGAAACCACCCCAGACACCATCAACCCAGCCTTAAACCGCTTCGAAGCGCCCGAGACGTCCGCGAAACCACGCAGAACCGACCCAAATCCTCCTCGACCACGCTAGACCGCCTTATACTACCCAGCTACTCGGAGGATCATGAGACTTTGTAAGTAAGGCTACAAGTCCCTCAATTGGGGCTATAATAGTAAGTAATTGAATTGTATATGTATAGTTACCTTATGCATAGCCCTCGTTCCTGAGTCTAATGATCCTTTCAAGTCTTCACGCAAACCTACAAGAGCCCGGCGGCTTTGATGAGAGACTTCTTCAGCCTTCTCCCGAGTTCATCAAAATCGAGGTTACTTGATAGGGTTTGGGGTTTTGGGTTTAGAGGGTTTAGCGTTGCTGAAGACTGGACAATACCGACAATGCCAGGCTTACTATTCATGTTGCCAGTACTAGTATCAGTGAGTATGCAGGGCTTGCATGGGAAATCCTCTCCTTTCAGAACTCAATCTTTGTTTGGAAGCCCGAATTTGTTCTCAAGGTCCTTCAAGTGGCTGCTCTTGCAGAAGCCGAGTGTGAGCAAGCCTCGATTGATGGGCCGGGGATGTAGCTCACGGTCAGGATATTGCGAGGTACTTATGCCTTACAGCACTGGTAGCCTACCCTGAACCCTAAACCCTTAACCTTATGCATCCCTAAACCCTAAGCCCTAAACCTTAACCGTGCGTGGTTACTAAGCCCCCTGATCCTTTACGGAGGGTTCTTGAGTGGGGGGGCACTCTAAACCCCTAAACCCGTAAACCCCAAACCCTACACCCTAAACCCTGAATCCTGAACCCTATTAAACCCTAGCCCGAAACCCTAACCCCTCAATCTGAAACCCCAAATCGCAAACCCTCAACCCCAAAACACCCTAACAAACCTAAAAACCCTAAAAACCCTAACAACCCTAAACACCCTAAAAACCCCAAAAGCCCTCAAAGCCCTCAACCCCAATCCTAAACCCGCCGGCCAGGTCTCGGGCATGGAGGGCCCGAAGCCTCGAATTATCGCCTTCCCCTCCTGGCACCTGGACTCTGCGGAGGCGGTGTGGGGGTTTAGGGTTTAGGGGTTTAGGGTTTCGGGTTTAGGGTCTATATCCTGCTTTACCTTAAAGACCGTAAATGAAATTCTGGTATATTGCTTATTTGGAGTAGTGCAGGATATATATATATATATCATCAACCGTAGTTACATCTAACCCCAAGTTGGGTTGAGGGTTTGGAGGGTTTCTTTGCTGCCGGTGTTGTGATGATGTGTGTTATAAACACCCTCAGGGGGCCCAAGTCATCCCTAAAAAGTGATTAGTGAGCCACGGTTTAGTAGGGGACTAAGGGACTAAGGGCCCGCATCTTGGGAGTTTGGGTTTTATTTAGCCCCGTGGCTTTGGGCAGTCTTTGGGTCGTTGTTCGTTTCAGATTCTGAGTTTAGACCTAGTACCTGAACCCCACGAGCCCACCTTTGCTTTTAGACTTATGTTTAGGGTTTAGGGGTTTAGGGGTGAGGGGTTTAGGGCAAGTTTAGGGTTATGTAATGAAACCAGAACAAAGAACCCTGCAAAAGGGTAGGGTCAGGGTTCAGGTAGCGTTGAAGCTCTAGCGTTGGGTTTGGCTTTGGTGTGTTTTCTTCCACCCCTCCTCTCAGGGTGTTTTGTGTAGACCTGGCAGGGCGTTGAAAGCTGGTCTGCTCAGGGAAGGTTTGGGATGTCTTAAGTTTATAGGTTTAGGGGTTCAGGGTGTTTTAGGGTTCCAGGGCTCAGAGATTTTAGGCCTGACGGCCTTAAGGTTTTAGGGTTTAGGTTTTTAGGGTTCATGTTGGGTTTACGGTTGAGGGTCTAGGGCTCGTGCAAACACGTGCTCTTTGGGGGCCTGGGGGAGGGTGTGAGGCAGTGGAAGGTTCAGGGTCGAAGGGATTCGAGTTTAGGGTTTTGGGGTTTACTGTAGGGCTCGGCAATTTGGGATTTAGCGCTCAGGGTTTAGGACTTGAGGTTTAGGGTTCAGGGTGAGGGAGGGGGTTTATGATCCCTAAACCCTATAATCCCTAAACCCTGGTGCCGCAGTGAATTTAGGATCGAAGCCTCATACGTCCGAGCATTCCCCGTGCGAAGAGCGCCCAGGGCCCCTAGGAATCATGGCAGCCACCGCGCCGGTGAGGGTCGTCGCCTCCGACTCCCGTGGGGCGCCTTCGGAGAGGCGGGTTTAGAGTTGAAAAAACTATCGCCCCTACGGTTGAGGGTTTGGGGTTTAGGGCTTAGGGTTTTGGGTTGAGGGTTTAGGGTTTGGGGTTGATGATATAAATCCTTTATGACCCATAATACGGAATATACCAAAATGCCCGTAGTTTAGGGTCCTTAAGGTAATGCAGGATTTAGATCATCGACAGTAGTAATTAGCCTAGTAGAACCCTTATGGTACCCGTGCCCTTAAAGGAATCCTTAAGGGAACCCTGAAGGTGCAATGGAGCCTCATTGGGTTAGTACATTTGAGGATTACTATAGAATCCTGAATAGCTACCTATGCTTCCCCTTAGGGTTATAGTCTTATTCTAATGATTCCGGCCGCTATAGTGCCGAAACCCGACAAAACAGTAAGATTCTGTTATTGTCCTTGTGAGACCTTGTTCTATTGGGCCAATTAATTGTTGAAGTATGTTATGTACCCGGAAATGTAAAGCCCGTAACTTGTTCGATCACCATGTGGAAAACTCTTGACATCAGAACAGCTCGAAATCCTAAGCCTCTCAATACCTAACCCTATGTATACCCTAAACCCTAAACCCTATCCCGTCACCCGGATGGGCACGCCAAGAAAACCCTTAGAGGGAACCTTTCTGGTAAGCCCATAACCCCTCAACCCCAAGCCCATTGTTGCACTGGTTTTTGAACCCCAGCTTCGCGAACCCAGGCTTTGTTCCATGGAGAGTCGCCCCTCTAGCGTTAAGGATTTGGGATTTGGGGAACAGGATTGATCTATGCCCTTATAAATTACTTACTTATAAAGCCTGAACTCTATACACCCTAAAGCGATTCATGCATGCTCCGAACCCGAAAGTTCCTGTAGACTCTAGTAACGAGGTTTCGAGTCTTGGATTCCCCAAGCCCTTCTTGTCACAATCCGTGAACCTTCACGCACCGGCCCGAGCTTTCAGAGCAGCTTTTTTTTTAATAGGGGCGCTTGCATCGCTTCGAGGGTTTCGGCGTTTAGGGTTTAGGGTGTATAGGGGGTTAGAGGTTTAGGGTTTAGGGGGTACAAGGGTTTAGAGGTTTGGGTTTTAGGGGTTCAGGGTGTGGGCTCTGAGGCGGCAAGGTTTTTTTTTGCAGGTTTCCGGGCTTGTTTGGGGTGTTGGGTTTCCTGCGTATGGAGCCCTTCGGCTACGGCTTTGCAGTAGTTGTATAAGCCTTTGGGGTCATTGCTAGCTGCTAGCGAGCTATACCTGTTTGCAGACATACATATGGAGTACGAAGGCTTTATATCCTAAACCCTAAACTCTAAACCCTAAACCCTAAACCCTAGACCCATGCCGGTTTTCATAGCACCCGGAGACCTGGTCGATTATTCAACCATAAAACCGCCGAAAGCTGTACAAAAGCCCATAGTACGGCTCGCATGTCAGGCAACCCTTAAAGGAGCCCTGCAGAAACCGTTTAGGGTTTATAGGGTTTAGAGGGTTTTAAGGTTTAGGGTTTAGGGTTTAATGAGTATGCTCGTCCGGGGCTGTGCTGTAACCAGCTGGCCTACCGCGCTCGCAAGCGTTCCTTCCCCCTGCAGGTCCTCACTTGACTGGGCGAAGCGTGTACAGGATGCGCACCAGAAGAGGAGCTGGGGCTCCGGGGGTTTAGGGGTTAGGGTTTAGGGTTCCGGGGTTTAGGGTTTTAGGGTTTAGGGATTTAGGGATTTAGGGATTGGGGTTTGGGGTTTAGGGTTTAGGGATTAGGGTTAGGGATTAAGGTTTAGGGTTTAGGGATTAGTACGGGTTTAGGGTTGAGGGTTTAGGTGGCGGAATGCGTTGCTTGATCGCTGTTGATACAGCTGTTGGGGTTCAGGATTTCGGCTGAGACTCGCTTTGATTCAGGACTTGCAGATTTCGGATTTAGGAGTGTAGCCGCTTTGGCTTAGGAATAGAAGGTTTAGCATGTAGGATGGTAAGATTTTGGACACCCATAAACTGTAGGCCATTGGATCAGGACTTGTAGGACTTGAAGCTCATTACGTGGAGGATCATGGGACCTGGTACGTAACATTGTATGTGCCTTATTTGGGGCAATAAAGGAATTGCAAGTATACTTATCACATATACAACCCTGGTTCCTAAGTCCCATGTCTCCTCAAGTACACCGCCAAAACCACCAATAAAACCCTAATCGATCCCTTTCAGAACCCCTATGGGCCCCCTTTTAAAGCAACCCCCGATAGATCCCTTATAGAAAAGCCACCCCCCCCCCCACCCCCAAAAAATAGTGGAAAGGGAGATTGTAAGGTCATGGGTCATTGTTGTTGGGTGTCTGGTTTGTTTTGTATCTTTTCAACACCGTCTCCTACTTGTTATCTGACCTTGTCGCCCTCCCCGTTTCTATGTTACTCTATTATTTTTCTCTGGGGTTAGTCAGTCTTCTTGTTACGGTTGTCTTATTCGGTTTTGTTCAGGGCAGTTCAGGGTATCTTATTCGTTTTTTCTGTGTTTGTCACCTACTTCGTTTTAGTGCTTGACCCTAGCATAGTTAGTCTCATTGAAGTATTTGTCGTGTCTGTGTCGTTTCGCTTTTCCGGGTCGTTTATTTCGTTACATTTCGTTCTTGTAGGTTTGTTCGTTATTTTCAGTTTCTGGGTTAGGCTAGAACTAACTTTGGATAGGGCGGTTCGTAGGAAAGCCTATCATGAAGCCCAGTCCGGGCTTAGTGTGGTCTAGACGTTGCCTAACTCTGGGTCTTTTCTAGGGTTTATGGGTGGTGCGCGAATGCTACAACAAAAACGTCGTGCTCAACCAATTCATTATATTAGTAGTAGTGTTATGATTGCGATAGTTTTATCTCATTAAACAACCATAAGATGTAGTGTAAGGCACATCAAACTAATTTGATTACTTTCTTCATTCAGGTAAAGTCTTCTGTTAGTTTACTTATATCATTCTGTAACTTCGTATATTGGTCTCTTTTATGTTCAAAGTTTGTGATTTCTTCACACTTCTTAATCTCACCTTCAATCATTGTAACATCATCTCCATCTATAACTTTTCATAACTATGAGACTATGTTCAAGGTCATATAACTTCTTAATATTATTGTTGTTTCTCGTAGCTCGTTTAATTTATTATTGTATATATTGTATAATCTATCAATTAATGTTCTGGGCTTTGTATCTTTCAGTATTTTCAACTATAATACTATTTGATAATAAATAACATTATGGCTTGTCAATAACGATGAACTTTAACCATTCCAGCAAAATCATAAAAGACCTGCCGCGTATTCAAGTATGTAATTAAGATTGAAAATATTCTTACATAATGATAACAAAAATCATCCAGATTAAGAACATCAATGTAATTGTATGTTGCGATCAATAACTTGTTCATTTTTCACCTTTTCTTATTCAAGTAATGATTATACACATCTTCAAATTAAAAAATGTATTTGTTTGTCATACAATTCATGGTATCAAAACCATCTGAAAATCAAATTCATAGACTCATCTTTGTAAGCATTAGAGCAAAAAAATTAAAAAAAATACAATAAATTGGCATCATACCCTCTCAACAAATTACCATTACATATATCTCTATGTGCAGGAAATTCATTTGTTGCTACTAAACCCTAAACAGGAATTGAAACATCAGAATTTAAAATAATAGTTTCTAGATATACAGTCACTACATACGACATCGGAAAAGATACTCTCATTTACACCATTAGTAATTTAGGAGTTTAGCAGTTTGGGAGTTTGGGGCTTAGGGTTTAGGGTTTGGGAGTTTGGGGTTTAGGGTTTAATTTTCAGGAGTTTGGTGTTTAACGGTTTAGGGTGTAATTAGGGTTTAGGAATAGGAGTTTCAGGATTAGTGTAGGGCTCTGGGTACAAAGGATCCGAATCAACAATTGCAGGCGGCTTAGGTGTGCACTGTAGGCTGAAGGTTCACCGCAAAGTTTCGGGTTCAAGGAATCCGCAGTCGAGTTTACGTAAGGCAGGAGCATCTATGTGCCGGTATCCACGAGAGATTGGGTTAGCAGGCTTGAGTGTGTCCAACAGAAAGGCCCAAAACCCTAAACCCTAAACACCTAAACCCTAAACCCTAAACAACGCTGAGATGTTCAGCTCCATACTGGGTGCCGTATTTGTTGGCTGCAGTAGCAATCGGGACCTCGATGTTAAGAGCTCTGAAAGCCCTAAGCCCTACGTGGGCTCTAGGTCCTAAGCCCTAAGCTTTACTTCCCGAGAAGCCTTTCTACACCCCATCTAAAGTCCTAACCCCTAAACCCCTAAACCCAAAGCCCTGAACCCCTAAACCCTGAACCCCTAAACCTTGAACCCTAAACTCTAAGTTGCTGCAAGACTGGCCCACAAGGAGCCCCGAAGAGTGGAGTCGTGTCCTCAAGCAGTTGGACAGTGCCCGCGAGGCATCGCAGGTTTAGGGGTTTGGGGTTTAGGGGTTTCGGCCGTTAGGGTTTAGGGTTTAGGGTGGTCTAAGTTTAAGCTAGGGCCCCAACAAAACACATAAGAAGAAGCAGCTTACAGGGATTTCCCTGCCTTATTGGCCCTCATTCTCTGGTTTTGCAATAGTTTCAGTTATGTGCTAAAAACTTATCTTGTAATTGGGGACCGAAACAGGACGTAAGCATAAGCAGTCTATGGGGATGTCCGGACTTATTGAGCTATATTATAAGGGTGTAGGGCCTCATTTAAAGCTTCGGATTCGGATTTAGATCTTCCCTAAGCCCTGGTAGCGGGGGCGGGCTCCCGTATCTAGATGTTTGGCTATAACCCAGCGAGCCCGATGCCCCTTAATCAAGGAATATACCTCAAAGTGTCGATTTGTTGTTAGGATTTAAAGCATAACTATCAAATAAGGGTCTTGGGCTCTCTGGTAAGCTAAGAACAAAGCAGCAAGCTTCACCTGTTGAGTCCGCAGCGACGTTCATGTATTGCTGGCTTTTCAAGGCACACCATGTTGCTGATCCATGCAGTTTGAAAGGCAAATGAGGCCGGTGATGATGACGGTGATGGAGTTGTTGATTGTGACGATGACGATGTTCAGTAAGCAACAGGCTACTACAATCCCCCATCCATAAAGCATCGCTGAGGCAGCTTGTGATCTCTAAACCCTTCTCAGAGGACTCAAGGACATGCAGTTTTAGCATGTTTTAACTTTTAAAACATGTTACAGCCCCGCAAGTAGATTAGCACCTTTTCACTGTATCAGAAAGGATCCGGATACTTCGCACGCAGGCTATGGGCGCAAAACCCTTGTTAGAGGATCGGGAAAAACGTAGTAAGTAGATTGCACGTCATCAGATTATGAAAGTCATTCCCACTCTTGGTGCTTGAAACAAACCCATTAGCTTTTTCACATTCCCCGATCCTCCACCCTTGACCCGCAATCTTCCAGACTCTATCTAGACCTTTAACATCCCTGCGCACACTGGCTGGGACCCAATGCAACCCTAACCCAAAACAAATATCTACATATGGTCCCGCATCGCCGCGTCAGTGGCCCCTTCCCATCATCCTCGTGACTGTCGACGTTGTTTTGGAACTCTCGCGCGAACTCGCGCAAGTTGACTTTCATTCAGGACGTCTTTGAGCAAGGGACCGGAGGAGCGTGCGGACCGTCACCATCTTCGAGGGAGGGACAAGAGGGGGGGGACCCACACCAAGGGAACCACAGGGGGGAGGAGGGGGGCATATCATGGGATGGGGGGGGGGGGGGGGGGG